TCTGAAAAGCATTTTTTATCAAACTTTCATAAATTTTTCCCACTACTAATGCAAGACTAATAAACCTATAATTATTGGGACAGTATTTATCAATTCCCTTGAAAAGACAAGTAACATTAGCCAACTTACAAAACAATAGTAGCAAGGGGCTTACATATTCAATCATTAGCCTCCTAAAAATACCCTTGGGGAAATACTATCTGGCCCACAAGCTTTATCATTCTTTAAACTTCCTAATTTTTCTTAATTTTGGTAATAAATATTATAAATTTACTAGTTTTTTTATTTTTTCATTATATAACTGTATTCTTTAGTGTTGAATAAGGTGTAAGATTACTGTTCTCACAATGTGTTACATTTGTAATTTATAATTTGCATAATTGTGTTCTTTTGTGTTAAATAAGCCACAAATATACTTTTTATTCATTGTGTAAGTGTTAATTTGTAACACCATGATTTTTTACTTTATGAATGTGTATTTCAGTGGAAGTTGTAGCAAGCATTGACAGTTCTCTGATCAAAGGTTGAATGCTCATGAAGTAGTATTCTTTATCCACTCAGCCATACCTGCCTTTCAACCATGTGATAAACTACAAATGTAAATGTATTAATTTCCACAAACAATAACAAAATTAATAGAGCATCATAATTTGCAAGTATCAGCCATTTTATTTAGGGTAACAAAGCAAAAACACAACATATACATAAACTTTCTTCTAGATTATACAAGTAATCAAAATATTTTGTAAATGTAAAATGATGTAGGATGGCAGTGCCAAAAAGAATACAAACAAGAATATAGGGATGATACGATTATATACTGATCCTCCATACATGACTTTTAGTATTAATATTTAATGTTACACTGTAAAATGCACAAATACAAAATGGCTATGAGGTCAATCAAATTGACCAATCTTGTAGCAAGAGTCTGTAATTAATCAAAACATGTTTTGACTCAACTTAGTTTTCCTTGTACATAAGTCCTAGACTCTTAGTTACCCTACATTGATGCCTGCTCTGACATGACCATGATATTATGATGAACAAACTGCATACCAATAGTCAGGAATATATAACTTCCAACTGCAGTAATATTAAAGTCAAATATGCATTTTACAGTTTTGACATTTTTTCCCCTCATTGAAAATTAGTGTATTCTATGGATGTGAGTAATAAAACTTAATTTTACATGTACTGATTTTTTTTTACCCCTTCACTTCATACATAATATAGGATTGACTCCCATTGTATGGTGGATGAAGCATTGAGTATTCTACATGTTATAGCCACCTAATATTTGTCTATTAATGGCTGGTAATTCCTGTTTCACCTAGTACTTAAGCTTTATAAAGGAACACCAAATTTCTGTAAGAAAGCTAGCTTCAAGGGGTAATGATAACATCATCTACACTAGAGTTATGATTTTTTATTTTTTTTAATTACTACTAGTTATTACAACTAAGCAATGACACCATGCACTGCCCAGAAACACATACAGTGGACCAAGGTTTAAACTGATGTTAGTGATAAAGTAGTTTTTCAGTTTTCTTGACTGAAACAAGAAGAATAAAGATGAACAATTTGGTGGGTTGGTCACTTTCTAGGTTGATATCATAGCTATGGTTTCTTGCCTTGTTTTTGGGCTTGTTGGGTAGAGAAACAAATGAAAGCGTGTGGCAATGATATTTTAAAGTAAAACTGTCTGTTGCTGTTGATTTTTTAACATGCATAGTTGTATTATGCCTATTGAGTACCTTTGCCATCCCTACATATAGTCTACCGATTCAATGATTGTATAGAATATTACAAAGACAAACTGTGTTAGACTTTGTATAAATAGGCTACTATTGCATCATAACGTATACATAAATTTTCTTCTACATTGTACTTTATATTATATAGAGTATTATAAAAACATACTCTGTGATTGATTTTGTATAAATCAGCTCAATTGCAGTATTGCCTCAATAATGAGTTATGGCAAATAAACATGTAATGGAGATATAGAAGTGTCGAACTGGCATTTTTCTGATTCAAAATAATGAATTTTTGGCTCACTAAACACTGATAATCTTATTCTTCTCTAACAAATGAAGTGGCAGATGCTGTTAAGTTTATTGTCCCTTTTCAGAGTGAAGACACATTTAAAGTATCAGCATCTTCACTACCACATGCTAGATATACTTAATCAATCCCCAAAACAAAGCCTACATAACTCTTGTTAACCTGTACTTAAAAGTAATCTTAGTAGTCACTGTTATGTTTAGTTTTTTGCTAATTTATAACCAATGTCATGAAGAAATGTTTATTTGCATGCATGAACAAAATTTCAATAGCCATCTTGTAAAAATTGATATTGAGAAACCAATGGAATGGCATTAATAATATTTTCACCTTGTTACAGTTTTATAATACATTATGTATATATAGTACACTCTTATGTACAACAGTTTAGGATTTAAAAAGTAACTTCCTTATAAAATGTTCTACCTGAAGGTGTCTATCATGCTAAACATTGGGTAGTTTGAAAATGTCTTAAAAAATGAAACAAGCTGAAATTAGATAGATTAGTTACATGTGAGAATAATCAATTAGTTGAGTGTAAATTATTAATGAGCATGATGATTAATCAATCAGCAAATACAACTAAATACCCAGCTGTATAAGCAAACAACCCTGGAATCAACAAGTACAAATAATGTAATGTCACAAACATATAGTTAGTGTGAATGTGCTTTATAGTCACAATGTGAAAAACCTATACACTGGATAGGAGAAGTGAAGAAAAAGTGTCATTGGCCACTATTCAGTTCTTAACATTATATAGCCACACAATAGCATGTATAATAAATAAACTTAGTATTTCAAATCTCAAAGTCTAAGTTCAAGGGAGGTCCAGTCCAATCTACACTTTGTGCATTATTGGGTTATACTAGTACTGTACCTCCTTGGACTTAAGACTTCGAGATTAAACAATTTTTGTAATACTATATTTATATATTATATTTGTTTCATTCAAAAAACAATGGCCATTCCTTATAATTTTTTATTCTTCTGACTGTGTGATACCACAGTATATTCCTTAAAAAACAGAAAAGTGAAAAATATTCTGCAAGTGGGGAAAAAAAGAGAATTTGCTGTTATCCTATGTTACAATATTCTATGTTGTGTTTTTGCTTTTAAAACCTGTGTGTGATGTGCCATTCTTTTGCTGTTAAAGTACATGTATCCCAGGGTACTCCTACAAAGGTAATGGTAATGATAGAAGAAACAAGTTTACAGTAATTTCTGATTACGTACATCTATGATTGTATTTTAAAATTATAAGTATTGTCATTATATGTTTTTCTTCCATTGCTGAGAGTGCAAAGGTCCTGGGTATCACTCCCTTAACTTTAAAGAAAATGGCTAACTGATAGTAAAGGAATAAAAAACGAAGTTTGCTACATTTCTCAATGTGTACAGCCTTTGGTTCCTTAAGAAGAACTGAACTGTTAGAAAGGGTTAAAAAGAGGGCTACTAGAATGATATCTGAGATAGAAAGATTGTCATGTGAGGACAGGTTAAGCTCTCTGAAACTGTTTTCCCCTTGAAGAAAGAAACGTCAAAACGAATCTAATTGAGCTATTTATGATTGTTAAGGGAATTGATAGTATCAATGCATCATTTTAATGGTAAAAATGGTAGGACAAGGGAACACAAATATAAATTTTGGCATAGTAGGAGTCATCTTCAGCTAAGACAGCTATATTTTTCTGATAGGGTGGTTGGTCTTTGGAATGGGTTGCTTTCAGATTTGGTGGATTTATAAGTATATTTATTGAATAGAACAATATTACCCTTATTGTTCTTAAGTATTGTTATTATATACATCTATGATAGTGTGTCAACTGAGTTTTATCATTTAATTTAATTTCTCATCAGCAAGTTATTATTTCTCAACTTCTGAATATGCACAGCCTTATGATAATCTATAGAATGAATGCTTAAGTAATGATATAGAAAAATAAATATTTACATTACTGTTTCTTTTATCTTTATATACTCATTTGCCATAGATTCAAGGTTAATTTGAGGACATCTTAATTTCATGTAACTTACAGATCAATCAATATAAATTAAATTTACTATATTATTACAATTATAGTTTGAAACCAATTCATTTAACCAAAGATTTAACATAATGAAGAGGTATATACTACACTTATTTAATCCAGAACTTTGTTCCTTCTAAAGGAAGTGTCCAAATGCAAAATAATGTGGCACAAATGATAAATCTCATAGAAATTCTGTTACTGTTAGGATGAAGTTGTCTAATATGAGGTAGTGAACATAGCAAGACTTTACTATTTTAAAGGGCATTTGCAGAAAAATCTTTATAAAAATTGACTTAATACAGTGAAGTATTCATTCAAAACAGTAACAGGTAAGTTTCATGTTATGTTCACTGGGAAGAATGAAAATTGATGAAACTGCTATCCCCATTTGAAATGCATGTTTATAACCTGTCTTATGCCCACCCATTCATCCTCACTAGCTATGGGAAGATATTAATAACTATATCCTGCATAATCACTTAATTAACTACAACCTTGAATTTTGCCTCTCTCCCTCGCAATGTTTTTGCTAAGTACTAAATACCTAACTTTTTTCAAACTACTTATAGTTTCAAAACTTTCCACCACAAATATAAAAAAGCATGTTTACAGAACTGGGTCTATTTACTGAAATTTTTGTATTGAATGGGAAAGTTGAAAACTCCAAAAATATATTGTTAATACTGTCAATGTTAAAAACTATGATTTTCAATGTCCAACATTCAGTTGTAAAGAATTCCAATATTATACTAAATTTTCAGAATATTTGGCATATACGATATCGTACAGTCTAAATTATAGTACAGTCAGAGGATTTAAGTTATACATTTGTCTTTATTACTATTAGTTTATAACATTTAATTGTAACTTAAAATCAAATTCCAAACAATTAAAGGATACAGTTTGAAACCGTCGAGGATACTGTCAGCATTGGTTGGCATTTTTCCAAGAATATTATCGTAAGACACACTTAAATTCTGATGTAAAATTTGTAATTTATTAAAGATAAAGTTAGTTGCACTTCAGAATCTCTTTAACCTATACTTTTAAGCGTAATTTACTTCCGAACACAAACACCCTAAGTTAATGTTTGCTACCGTTGCCCCTAGCGAGTGTTCATCGAATATTATATTGTTGCGTCAGCGAGTCACGTGACTAC